TTTGTTGGAATTCCCCGACTCTGAATTAGATCGAAATGACGACATTTGCTTTATTCAAGCGATTTTATTGGTTGGTATAATAAGATGATGGATAATCGTCCTACGTCATTTTAAAAGTAATATGCGATTGGCTGAGAAAAAGAAAAGTTATAAACGCGAAACAAGGGAAACCCTTGCAAGGCGTACTCTCGGTATACAGTCACGGACTATCTCCTGAGTTCACGATAACCTTTTTTGACGGTGAAATTTGTGGAATTGTGGAATTGAATGAAGAGGTCTACACCATTCACCTGTAATGTAATAAAAGGTAGACCAAACACTTCCCACTTCGACACACTGGACCGTATACTTCCCACTACGACGCACTGGACCGTACACTTCCCTACTACAACAAAGTGGATCGTACACTGCCCCACTACAACACAGTAGACTGTACACTGCCCCACTACGCCACAGTGGACCGTACACTTCCCTACTACGACAAAGTGGACCGTACACTCCCAACTACGACACACTGGACCGTACACTTCCCACTACAACACACAGGACCAAACACTTCCCACTACGACACACTGGACCCAACACTTCCCACTACGACACACTGGACCAAACACTTCCAACTACGACACACTGGATCGTACACTCCCCCATTACGCCACAGTGGACCGTACACTTCCCTACTACGCCACAGTGGACTGTACACTGCCCCATTACGCCACAGTGGACCGTACAGTGCCCTACTACGATACACTGGACCGTACACTTCTTAACTACGACAAAGTGGACCGTACACTGCCCCACTACAACACAGTGGACTGTACACTACGCCACAGAGGACTGTACACTGCCCCATTACAACACAGTGGACCGTACACTGCCCCACTACGCCAAAGTGGACCGTACACTGTCCCACTACAACACAGTGAACTGTACACTGCCCCACTACGCCATAGTGGACCGTACACTGCCCCATTACAACACAGTGGACTGTACACTGCCCCACTACGCCACAGTGGACTGTACACTGCCCCACTACGCCACAGTGGACTGTACATTGTCCTAATACGACACAGTGGACTGTACACTGTCCCAATACGACACAGTGGACCGTACACTGCCCCACTACGCCACAGAGGACTGTACACTGTCCCATTTCGACAAAGTGGACCGTACACTGCCCCACTACGACACAGTGGACCGTACACTGCCCCACTACGCCTCAGTGGACTGTGCACTGCCCCACTACGACACAGTGGACCGTGCACTGCTCCACTACGACACAGTGGACCGTACACTGCCCCCACTACGCCACAATGGACTGTACACTGCCCCACTACGCCACAGTGGACCGTACACTGCCCTACTACGCCACAGTGGATTGTACACTGTCCCACTACGCCACAGTGGACTGTACACTGTCCCAATACGCCACAGTGGACCAGTGGACCGTACACTGCCCCACTACGACACAGTGGACCGTACACTGCCCCACTACGCCACAGTGGACCGTACACTGCCTAACTACAACAGAGTGGACCGTACACTGCCCAACTACGACACAGTGGACCGTACACTGCCCCACTACGACAGAGTGGACCTTACACTGCCCCACTACAACACAGTAGACCGTACACTGCCCTACTACGCCACAGTGGACCGTACACTGCCCCACTACGCCACAGTGGACTGTACACTGTCCTAATACGACACAGTGGACTGTACACTGCCCCACTACGCCACAATGGACTGTACACTGCCCCACTACGCCACAGTGGACCGTACACTGCCCCACTACGCCACAATGGACTGTACACTGCCCCACTACGCCACAGTGGACCGTACACTGCCCCACTACGCCACAATGGACTGCACACTGCCCCACTACGCCACAGTGGACCGTACACTTCCCTACTACGCCACAGTGGATTGTACACTGTCCCACTACGTCACAGTGGACTGTACACTGTCCCAATACGCCACAGTGGACTGTACACTGTCCTAATACGACAAAGTGGACTGTACACTGCCCCACTACGCCACAATGGACTGTACACTGCCCCACTACGCCACAGTGGACCGTACACTTCCCTACTACGCCATAATGGATTGTACACTGCCCCACTACGCCACAGTGGACCGTACACTGCCCCACTACGCCACAATGGACTGTACACTGCCCCACTACGCCACAGTGGACCGTACACTTCCCTACTACGCCACAGTGGATTGTACACTGTCCCACTACGCCACAGTGGACTGTACACTGTCCCAATACGCCACAGTGGACCAGTGGACCGTACACTGCCCCACTACGACACAGTGGACCGTACACTGCCCAACTACGCCACAGTGGACCGTACACTGCCCCACTACGACACAGTGGACCGTACACTGCCCCACTACGCCACAGTGGACCGTACACTGCCCCACTACGACACAGTGGACCTTACACTGCCCCACTACAACACAGTAGACCGTACACTGCCCCACTACGCCACAATGGACTGTACACTGCCCCACTACGCCACAGTGGACCGTACACTTCCCTACTACGCCACAGTGGATTGTACACTGTCCCACTACGCCACAGTGGACTGTACACTGTCCCAATACGCCACAGTGGACCAGTGGACCGTACACTGCCCCACTACGACACAGTGGACCGTACACTGCCCCACTACGCCACAGTGGACCGTACACTGCCCCACTACGACACAGTGGACCGTACACTGCCCCACTACGCCACAGTGGACCGTACACTGCCCCACTACGACACAGTGGACCTTACACTGCCCCACTACAACACAGTAGACCGTACACTGCCCCACTACGCCACAGTGGACTGTACACTGTCCTAATACGACACAGTGGACTGTACACTGCCCCACTACGCCACAATGGACTGTACACTGCCCCACTACGCCACAGTGGACCGTACACTGCCCCACTACGCCACAATGGACTGTACACTGCCCCACTACGCCACAGTGGACCGTACACTGCCCCACTACGCCACAGTGGATTGTACACTGTCCCACTACGCCACAGTGGACTGTACACTGTCCTAATACGACACAGTGGACTGTACACTGCCCCACTACGCCACAATGGACTGTACACTGCCCCACTACGCCACAGTGGATTGTACACTGTCCCACTACGCCACAGTGGACTGTACAATGTCCCAATACGCCACAGTGGACCAGTGGACCGTACACTGCCCCACTACGCCACAGTGGATCGTACACTGCCCCACTACGCCACAGTAGACTGTACACTGCCCCACTACGCCACAGTGGACTGTACACTGTCCCAATACGACACAGTGGACCATACACTGCCCCACTACGCCACAGTGGACCGTACACTGCCCCACTACGCCACAGTGGACCGTACACTGCCTAACTACAACAGAGTGGACCGTACACTGCCCCACTACGACACAGTGGACCGTTCACTGCCCCACTACGACACAGTGGACCGTGCACTGCCCCACTACGACACATTGGACCTTACACTGCCCCACTACAACACAGTAGACCGTACACTGCCCTACTACGCCACAGTGGACCGTACACTGCCCCACTACGACACAGTGGACCTTACACTGCCCCACTACAACACAGTGGACTGTACACTGCCCCACTACGCCACAGTAGACCGTACACTGCCCCACTATGCCACAGTGGACCGTACACTGCCCCACTACGACACAGTGGACCTTACACTGCCCCACTACAACACAGTGGACTGTACACTGCCCCACTACGCCACAGTAGACCGTACACTGCCCCACTATGCCACAGTGGACCGTACACTGCCCCACTACAACACAGTGGACTGTACACTGCCCCACTACGCTACAGTGGACCGTAGACTGCCCCACTACGCCACAGTGGACTGTACACTACCCCACTACCACACAGTGGACTGTACACTGCCCACTACAACACAGTGGACCGTACACTGCCCCACTATGACATGGTATCCGGACATTACTACGTTACTTCTTTAAATGTATTAAAAGTTCGCTTTATGTTTTAGTGTAGACTATTAAAAAATTGTATTCAACACTTACTTGGACATTTGATCCAAGACCACATCAGCCATCCTCGGGGTGTATAAACGTGAGGGTAATACACTACAGTCTCAGACAAACATAAATTTCCATACACCCACTACCTCGACGTTGCATAAAGTCACATAGAATTTTTTATCACGTTTCGGATGAAGCAGGACCATTCCTTAAACAGTTACCTTGTCATCATGTACGCTAATCGGTGTATCGTAGACACGAGTCGATGTAAGAATGGATCTGGCTTGGCCGATATGAAATTGAAAGGACTGGATTGAAACATCAATGTAGACGTGGTTCACATATGATTTAAAAGTACCACACCTACTGCGAGATAAGATACCCTGGCGTCTGAGAGAAATATCTCCAGTTTAATAGGTAACCTGAATGATCACTTCACAGACTATGCCCCTACAAAGGCTATTATGTATGTGATGTTAAAAACTACCCTATCCATTGTAATAATGCCTTTATTTATTTCAGTCCAAAAAAATGGTCGAATCACAACACGACTTACTCCGCCATTTTTATCAGACGTAACATATTTGAGAAAAAGAAAAATGTAGCCACTGTGTTATTAAATATACCAAAGCTAAACTATACCTTCAATCGTCAAGTTCCATTTATCTAGAATCAGGGATGTATGATTCAGAGATGGGTATCGCGACCAGTGGATCTGGCCTTAGAACGCTTTGAAGGACAGTACCCAACTCCCACAACGACACAATCCACTATAAGGACACAGAGGTCGACCCTACACTGCCCTATTGCGTTTGGCCTTACGACGTCCCACTAGACCCACATTGGACACTGCACTGCCCTACTACAACACCACTTTATTTGAATGCATGTGATTTTACTTCGTCGCATTTGGGTTTTAGTTCAGTCAGAATAAAAAGCAGTTCCATATAAACAATGTACTTACAGACACGCTTTGCTCGTAAATGATCCAAAACCTTATAACTGTATCCCTTATATCGGTGTAGTATGAAACAGGATTTACTCCTTAACAATCACAGGAAAGAATTGCTCCAGTCATACTTCCTCTTTTGGCCTACAACCGGTCACCGTAAGAGTAAGTTACACATAAACGAGGTCTCTATTCCACTGGCTTCTACATACATGTATATTTGTACACGTACCTGCATCGCGGCTGACAATACAATATTCATGGCACGCGGATAGCTGTATTGAACTGGCGAGTTAAACTACGAGGCATATCTGATCTGAAATGTCATGCTTGAGAGAGCATGTACAATTATATGCATTAAAAGTGGAACGGACCGAGAAAAATAGCAATTTTATTTATCCTGCAACCGCTTCGTGTATCAGCCGATAACTACTGCCAGATAAACCAGTACCTTTATCCGTCAGTACAAAGTGCTTTATCCGTCAATACGATTCACGTGAAGTTGTTCCGATTTTCACCGGACTATTTTCAAGTTGACCTGAACTTTGACCTATTGTGTCATGCTAACGTAAACAAACCTGAGTAATGCCTATATATCGTATTTGTCATATACGATCCATGTGTTTGGTTTTACAAATAAACAAATTATGTGAGACTATGATGAAATTCAGCATGTTAAAGAGAGTCTTTGGTTTTAATAAATTTTTAAAATGTTTATTATCTACAACTGTTCTGAAGTCCTACTGTCGTCTGCTAACTAGGCCCACAGCAATCCGGAAAAATGTCAGAGCATTCCGATGATGAAATCCACGACAATTGACATGTTGGCCACTCACCATGAAAAAGAAAACCGCGTGAAATTAAATCCATTTAGCCAATCGAGCAACACAGATGGCCCACGTGCTCCGACGAATTCCGTATCGTGCAGTAACACTGTTACACAAGAAAACTCGCAATTGAATTCCATCTTTTACGATGCAACTCTCCACATAAACCAATTGAACATTTACACAAACAACAGTAATCCAATGTGAATAAACATCTCAGAATCTGTGACGACCATCCAGTTCCCGTGAATCTAACATTTCCAACGGCTGTCAAGTTACACGTCTTCGGTGACATGTTACTGTTACATACGTGTGTAATTTTTGCAAAATTTGAACTTTTTTATTGATTGATTTATGATATCTGTTATGGTATTAAACAGAAAATGAATTGTATTTGTGTGATGTTTTCATACACAAATGGGTTTTAATATGATTTGAGGTCATAACAACGAACAGAACTATATTTCATTGCGCATTGATATTTTCAAAAGGGGTAAATGCGCTTTTTATGAATGGAAATCTTCTTACGCGACGAAGTGAGGGCGCCGCTTCAGTACAAGCAAAGGTAAACAATATTGCGCTGTACTCGTTTTATGTAAACATTGTTGAAAAATGGTTGCAGGATAAACAGAATACAGGCTCGCCATCTCAGTCTTTTCGTTCCGAGTCAAAAATAAACCTTGTATTGTACGATACTGACCATGTATTCTCTATATAACAGGTGCTTAAGTTTATCCTGATAATAAAATGACCGGTCTAGGAAATACACATAATAGCTACGCCATATGTTAAAATATTAATGTCATGTTTTATATGAGTACAGTAATGTACACGAGTATGATTGCTAAGTATATCCCGGCAGTGTATCTGCTTTAGTTTCCGGTTACGACCAAGGACATGAGTATTTATCTGTCGTTTTACTGAAATTTGTACCGCAAAACAATTTTTCACTTTCATAGACAATTTCATCAAGGACATAGAGCATCTGAGTCCGTGGCTTAACGGCTTTCTATGTCTTAGTAGTAACTTTATTAGGCACCAAATCTGACGAAATTCTTTCGTGACAAACATGATTAAGATACAGTCTTCCAAGAGAATTAGGTTGATTGAGATCATAACAAAGTTATATGGTTGATAAAAGAAAATAAGAATATCGACACTAAAACAAACCGTCATTTCAAATCAAAAGATTTACAGAGAAAAATAGGTGATATGCTTAGAAGCTCGTCCTGTATATCAAATGACTCTGATGAAAAGTTACATTTTTGCGGGATGAGATCTATGAATATTTATGAAGTTAAACTTTTCTGAAATGGACTAAATACTTATTGGTTATCAAGATCTATTGTTTAACACTAACAACCAGTCTCGCATAGCCTGCAAAGAAATCCCTAATTCTACTAGGATGAATACCAAGTTTCAAGTTTTATCACAACTTTAGACCTTAGCCCCATCAGTATATATTACATATACATTACCTCATACATTGTAGAGGAAGAATACTATTGTAACACATTCTATATATAATTTGGGATTTCACTGTTTACTAGTTTCATAAATAAATTTCCCACTGATACAAAGTTCTTTAATACTGTGGATAATCAATAATTCAACTAACTTAAAGACTGAAGGTTTTCTTCAATAATATCTCTTAATAAAAAGAGCTCGTATGGCTTGGAATTTTCGACATATCAAAAAATGAAATTCGTTCTCAATTTCAGTGACAAAATTACACTGTTTACTATATCTTTGTGCCGTTGGAATATTTCTATATCTTCCTGTCTCTATGACAAGAGACGAAGGGATTCTAGTCAAACATACACGTTATTACATTGATATATATTTATTAATGGTAAAGAAACAGTTTGATATACGAGATATTTATACATAAAGCATCTCAATGAATTTACCAAAGAAGTCACAATCAATTGCTTCGCGTGATCAAATCTTCTTTGCTTAATCTCCAATAAAATTAGGCTTGGTCGAGTGACAATAATAGGATTTATCTATATGTCACTAAAACCTAAATTACCTTATTCTTCCTTAACGTTAGTAACCCAATTGAAAACATTTGTTACACAGGTTTCACAGAAAATTATATGATTTGGATACAATACAGTTATCCGAATTCTAATTTAAACGAGTCTCTAAGCTTTCTATAAATTCTTATAAAAATCCAAGGAAACCGTCCCAATTCAGAATAAACCACACTGTTACGAACGGACTTAAATTTTAACAGTCTCTTTCTTACAAAAATCCAAATGCATATGTTCTATATCAGGCCCTTTACCCCATGTTCTGCTTGCATAAAAATATAACCCACTTAAGTATCAAATAAATACACCACTGTTTTTATAGTAAGGTTTAAACAAGAGCACTTACAAAGTAAAACCAAGCTTAACATCCTTGGACAGCCAGTTGCTTCTTGATACAACTGAACATTATTCTATTTTAGTAAAATTCCTAAATATGAGAACTGATCAACACGAGAAACCATACAACCCTTATAACACCATTGCTAATTATCATGTAATATTCCATCTTTACAGAAAACAATATTTTATTTTAATTGAGGCTTACAGTAAGATTCCATTTATTACAATAGACATCTAGATTATCAAAAAATTCTCCATAGATTCAGAAAATGAAACGATGAAACGAAACTTTAGTGAGTTTTCCTCTTATTCCAAGTTTGAGAGAAAAAAAAGCATCGACATTACTAAGACCAGGTCTAAAACAAATTGAGCATCATATATTATACAATATGTTTGAGACCATTTCAATGATTTGATATTCAATAAAGATACAAATAGTTTTCCTAAACAGTTAACAATATTCTGAAATCATTTGGATCAGATAAAACTTCTGTTTTATGTACTGGGGCAATCACATCAATCGACCAGTCACAGGGAAAAAATCCAGATTCTGAAATGTTGTTAAAAAGAGTGCAAATAAAAAGGCAATAAAACATCCAAAGACAATATTCACTTATGATACCATCTAGGCCATGAGACTTGCCCCACTTTAAATTATTTATAACATTACAACAGTATTTGGAACATCCAATTCATCATATATAGGTATATCATCAACATGTTCATGTATTATCCCGGACTCTTCATCAGAGTTATCGTTCTTGGATAAATTTTTAAAATGTTCATATAGTTTAGTTATATCAAAGTCAGATTTTTTTTTTTTTTTTTAGATTTTGGAGAGGAAAACGTTTTATGAAAATGCTTAGGATAATTTATTTTCATATATTCCATCATGTCACCTTCATATATTTGCTTTCTTCAACGGACCATTTGATTTATACCTCTTTTTTTCTCAATCATAATAGAATGATTAACAAGTTTTCTTCTTAATGAACGTAAAAAGTGCATGTTTATAGGACACTTAAAGGGATTTCAACTCCTCAGCAAACCAAGATTCATCAGTGTTTATATCAACACTATTAACACAACACCCATTATCATAGCTGCTATTACGAGGTACATCTACAATAAATGATTCCATGGTACGTAGTAATACACCAGTAAATTTACTAACATTATTATCAATATCACTTTGAATAACAGATTCTGGTACCACAGTAGCATTCTGTAAATTATTTACATTTACAGACAATAGATTTAAATAGGTTTCATTGATTCATTCTTCCACTTATAGACCGGCTTTCGCTGGTTACTCACTTTCAGGTCACCATTAATCAAACAAGTCAACCTAGACTTCAGTTGAATGCGAAACGGGGCATGATAAGAAGAGACGGCGAAGTTGGAAATAATAAATTTTATCACGACGTTAAACAGTGCGTCATTCAATATACAATAGTCAACATTACTCATACCATTGTGCCCAAAATAAATAAAATCATTTTAAAATCCATGTCTGTCCCCTCCCTTACATACACTGATATTAAAAGATTCACATAATTTGATCAGGCAATTACCAAAGGTATTAATCACAACATCTGTTTTATTTCTTGCATTAAATACGTCATCGTATTCATAATTAAAAATGTCTAACAAATGCTCATGGATACTGGACTTAACTACATCATTTAATAAAAAAATCGAGTTGATCACCAGTTCGGCTGTTAAAATCACCCACCAACATTACATCACCAAATAAAGTATATTTACCAATACTATTAAGAAGCTGAAAAACAAACCACAACTGTATAAATTATGACAAACAGAATAGACAGGGACAGGAGAGTACATGCTAAATTTATATCTTTGAAATAGTCAATTAGAAGATAAGATGTCTTCAACCAGACAACTCAATTACTGATTCAATTACATCTAAATAATGTAATATGACATTTTATCAATGTACATATACGATTATTGACGTAGTTTTCAGATCACGTGCCTTTTAAGTAGTTTGCATTACACTGGCATTTCATATTTTGCAAAAAACACTTGTTTTACGTGTGAACACATGAACAGTAGACATGTAAAGCAATTTTGCAAAAGGAAGCACCTATAAATCTTTCCGCCAAGAACAGTAGCTCGCGTTCCACTTAACCGTGAAAAAAAGTGATAAGATTTCATTTTCTTCATGGATTCAAAACGAAGCGGATGTAGAAGTTAAATGGCTACACTTGCCCTCACACATACTACCACAGATGATACAATGATGAATAGCAAGTATCGAGGTATGATACATTACATATACATATGATCAGTAAACGATGCTGATGCGAGGTTTAGAGACATGATAAAACAGAAAAGAAAGATCAAATGCATCCCGATCTATACAAATTGCAAATCACACTTAATGGGGAATATAGTGAGAGTTTGGGTCATATCATGATACACAATGATCAATTCAAATAGAGTATTTATATTATGTCTACGACGGGTCTACACGAGCGCCTAGGTTGCGAGTCCTGTCGTACCCACTCATCAATATCCTCATACAGATGTTCGTATTTCTCGGACGGGTTGTGTAATCTTCTACACAGCTCACAAAAACTGCGTTCACAGCCAAGCTCTTCAGCCTTGTAATAACGACGCCAGTTGAAATAAGACTTGAATGATTCTTTGTCGTCTGATAACTTCTTTAAGAAAATACCTAATTTACTAATTGATGAGAAGTTTCTTGTGTCCACGTATGATCCCGGAGGGAGGAAAATAGAATAGTCAGGAGCTCCACGAGTAACTGGTATCGAATCAATATTCTGACTGAACACTCGGAAACTCTTTTCCGTTATGTAGTCTATGCACAGAGAATTTTCAAATGATGAATAGTATTTATATTGTCCGATGCACTCTTTCCATTTCCCTCTCGGACAGAAAAGATTCCCACATCGGCCGTATATATCAACATCAATATTCTTTTGAAGTTTTTGTCCATATTTAAGCCTCTGGCTTGCCACTCCGCAGTGTGAAACAATCCAACCAAGATTTCTGGTTTTATTTTCCCATATAATATCTGGTGCATCAATGACCTCCGAGTCCGTTCTCTTTGTAAAGTTACCATATGGAAAAAATATATCAGCATCTCTTCTATAGCTCATTGTCCAATTAAATAATCGTTTCCACTTTTGAAACTGCGGAATTAAGAATGGCGGTTCCAATGCATGGAAGACCCATGTCTGACCATTGTGCTTCCTGAGCGGTTCGCTCAAGCGTATGCCTGGAGCGTGGAACACAACGACATCACTGTCGTGGTAGTTTGATGACGAAATCATCTTACACTTGTACTTGCAACTGTCGAACACGTGCAGACTTACCCAGGGTGGTTTGTTGTAATAGGTAACAAGTTTCACAGTCATTGGTTTAGAAGGAGGCTTTGTTAGAAACATAGGGATAGCGTAAAGGTCAGGTACAATCGTCCCTCCGAGCACTATGAGGTAAAGACATAGAGCCAACAACAGCAACAAGCTGAAACTCATCAGGATCAGCAGGAGTCTGCAAACAAGATGTTTTACTTATTTGTCAACATTGGATGATTTAAAGAAAACATTTATTTTTGTATATTTTGCACCGAGTCGTCATCACTAAGCTTCGAAACATGACATGTGTGGGACATGAAATGACCAGAAAGTAACTTTATTTAAACTGGTGTTCAATATTCACTATAAAAACGTCATGAAAATAACCCATAAGAATAAGAGAAAATGGAATGATACGGAGTCAATGTAGATAAAAAAAGGGAAACATGTACAAAAGAAATATGTATAAATGTTTTATAAATGTCCCACATCACGTGGAAAAGGATTTCTAAAACCATACATGGATAATCACTTTAAGTTTTGACGAGCTACCACACTAAATAAATAGTAAATGAAATATAAGGATTCTGAAAACATTAGTCGGGAGTCATACTTTTAAGTAATTATCTGATAATAGAATTACTTTCTAAAACGAATGTGGTTCACCTAACTCGAAATCTTGATTTGATAGTTAAATACCCTTGTACATTTTCAAGAGTCTCCGCGTAAATCTTTCTAATGTTGTGGTATTCTCGTTTCGTAGATCGTGAGGTTTGATTACGATGTTCTAAACGTGCAATATATAGTACTTATATCGATGCTGTAGGCTTGGTAATGTATATTCTTGTTAGTTAACTTTTTTCGGGACAATATCCGACCATGTGGAAAACATATTTTGGGAATGATGACTAAATCTTTTTCGATTGTTTTATATGGACCTCAACGCGGCCCTTTCCTATCAATTAAAAGACGAATCCTTCACAGCTGTCACAAATAAGTTATTATTCATATAGTTATATTCCATACACACTAATTCACATAAATAATCTTAAAGAACTATTTCCGTTTACGACTATAAAGAAATAATGCGTTTTGATTGTCGATGAGGTTTCGTCGGTGATGTGCAATTTTCATGACATAGTCAGCAATTCAGGGATATGCTTACCTGTTGGGACTGCTTTTTGAAGTCATGATTTGTTCAGTTACTTAAGCTGTATTATGTTCTTTGTAATAGCTGCAAGATCCTCCCAACAAAACGCATCACCATCTGTTAACTGTACAGCCTTGTCATCGAATTCTATAGATGCATTCTCCTACTCTCGGAAGTCTCGGAAGTCTTCGCCTGACATTTGTCTCTCTCTTCAACTACAAGAAATGTACTTCATGTTAAAAATACAGGGTGTTCAGAAAACCATGTGTATCATGAATGTAGCAGTGATATATTATGACATACAAAGTGTATAAAATCATAATTTACATGTAATCTGCATTATTTTATTCTTAATATCATCTTACTCGTTTCCTTAATCAATGTCAATAGGTGAGGTGCCCGTAACGTGTCGTCCGTACATACATGTGTGTTTCCATGGTACATAATGTGCTGTGTTCAAGTGGTATTGTCCGAGTGGTTAGTCATAGTATTACGTCATCAAGATGCAGTAGTTTTCATTAGTTGTTGGAAAAAGACATCATAGTCTTTTATTACCCGTATCTGTGTCTTGCACGGTTGCACGCATTGCAAGTGGCATATTGAAAATAAAAATTCTCCAACCCACAAAGTGGCCTTGTGTTATATATACATGCCAGAAAATCCTACTAGTACATGTATACCTATTTTGAAATCATATTAAACAATTTTTTATGAGTTGCACGAGAGCCGAGGCACTTCAAAGTAGAAACGTCTAAGACTAGTTTAACAAAGTATCATAGGAAACTCATTTGAGATCCTTTGTATCTGAAGATTAAACAAAACTTTGAAATCGGATTTGATGGCGATGAATTGTAAAGCCATCGAAGAAGCACGACTTGCGTCATTAGCTGTTGGAAAAATGATATGGATATTAAATATCTTAAAAGTTATACCGTTCTTATTAAAATCATATATCTACATGTAAGTCGTATTTTCAACATTATCTGCATACAGAATCTGGTAGCGATAGATAATGCTAACTACAAACATGTTGATATCAATAGCTGGTGCTAACTACATACATGTTGATATCAATAGCTGGTGCTAACTACAAACATGTTGATATCAATAGCTGTTGCTAACTACATACATGTAAATATCAATAACTGGTGCTAACTACATACATGTTGATATCAATAGCTGGTGATAACTACATACATGTTGATATCAATAGCTGGTGCTAACTACATACATGTTGATATCAATAGCTGGTGCTAACTACAAACATGTTGATATCAATAGCTGTTGCTAACTACATACATGTAAATATCAATAGCTGGTGCTAACTACATATATGTAGATATCAATAGCTGGTGCTAACTACATACATGTTGATATCAATAGCTGGTGCTAACTACATACATGTAGATATCAATAACTGGTGCTAACTACATACATGTTGATATCAATAGCTGGTGATAACTACATACATGTTGATATCAATAGCTGGTGCTAACTACATACATGCTGATATCAATAGCTGGTGATAATTACATACATGCAAATATCAATAGCTGGTGCTAACTACATACATGTAGATATAAATAGCTGGTGCTAACTACATACATGTTGATATCAATAGCTGGTGCTAACTACATACATGTTGATATCAATAGCTGGTGCTAACTACATACATGTAAATATCAATAACTGGTGCTAACTACATACATGTAAATATCAATAACTGGTGCTAACTACATACATGTTGATATCAATAGCTGGTGATAACTACATACATGTAAATATCAATAACTGATGCTATCAGGAAATAAGTATTTTTTTGTGCCAGCGTCGTCACATATAACGGACGCTATAACAAACAACGAAGAGAATTCATTTTAATGCCGAAATGAATTTCTCCTTTATTCTTCGGTGTCTAGTTCAAAGTGACAGGAACCGCCATGTACACTACAGGTAAAGAATTATTTCCCTAACCAATCGAATTTCATTTTACAAACCATTTCAAGTAAAATTCCGATAACTGACCAAGGCGATCTAACCTGACATAACTGGTTTAACTGACCACGTGACCTGTGTCAACGCACCTGTTGAGTCGTGTCAACAAGAACGTTGCGTTCACTGAGATATTGTGCCGCAACCGACTAATGCTAAGAGCTGTTTTCTCCTATTTATATATATATATATATAAATATATAACATACTACAAGGTAACGAACAATGGAAAAGTACAATACAGACGCGACGAATTCTTTAAAATCCCGCCTAGAACGATATCGGGGAAGGGGGGGTGGGCAGGGTATTCTTATGTGTTCATTGTGCACGCATATTCCTGATCACTTAACCATCCATTTAGAACAATTATATCACATACGAAGTAAGGTAGCGCGAGAATTACCTGTTGAGGTTTATCGATCCAAAGACTCGGTTGAATGATAAAAAAGTCGTTTCGTGGATTCACGCCAAAAGGAAAGTCATACAAGGACTCTATACTTGTATGTTGCTAGATGCATCATATCATACTATGGTAGAAATGTCCCAGGACAATGGACTCTCAAAGTTGCCATGTTCAAATTTCTTGATTTATTTCAAATAAAATATGTTTAAAATAAAATAACTTAATAAGATCAAATATATCTGTCAAGCGTTTGTCTGACGCTCGAATTTGTCCTTGTTGTGTAAGCATTTATTATAACATTCAATGATAGCCAGAACAAATGAAATCAAGAAAAAATGGTGACATCCTAAATTCAGAGACGTAACGCTTGTAGTGTTTTTTGTAGGGGGTCTTTTAAACTAATAATAATAATAATAATAATAATAATGGAGCATTTGTGTCTCCCAATGGGAGTGAACATTTAGTGACCGGGAGTTTACCACATCTTTCTCACAAGTTACCACGACTTTGTGGTCCCTCGGAGTATCTCATTCTACATAAACACATAATATCCAGACGGCTCAAATTATATAGCATATACGTTATACTATACAGTAATCTATTTTATCTGATAATGTTATGCAGAAAAAATATATACTTTCTACTTACTTTGTTTCCCTGAACAATGCTCCAGAACAATAACACGTGTTAATCAGTGCTACTCAAAGTTATTTTTGTGTTAAGTAGATCAGCCCTGTAACAGGTTTAAGAGAAATTTTAGTGAAGACCGCTGTCTTACTAGGAGCGTCAAACACACATCTGTACACGCCTCGAGTGTTTCCTTGCCTGTATTGCTTCCTGGTAAACGAGAGAGTGTGATCGATAGGCTTGATCGTATCACATTATACCCAACTTACAAAATACCCCCAAGAACATTATCGGATTTTCTTTTTTAAAGTAATAAAGAATGAAAAACAAACAACTCAAAACAGTTTACTGTTAACGACCTCAATTTTGTTCAATTGACATTGTGATAAGACGTTATCGAATTTAAAAAAAAATGGAGAATAATTTCTAAAATAATTTCCCTATTACCTCCGGTCTTGTTGTCAAATTGAAGTATATCTTCTATTTCTACAGAACTGAATCCCATTGTCCAAGGAGTGCTTTTGACCTTGTAAGAACTTACTACAATTCCCCTACTAGATCCCACACCTTAGGGGGCCGGACACTTGATTTATACACCATGGGGTCCTTTTAGCCACATCAAAATAATTAGAACGGAATCCTCTGTTGAGCCCCTCCCCTTCCGCCCCGCCCTAAGGTGCCAAGACCCACTATTTTACAAAATTGCTTTCTCTTCACCAAGGATGCTTCTTATCCATTTGGGGACAGAATCCATGCATTCCCACAGAAGAAGAATGTTGAAGTTTTTTTTACCGAGTCTATCTGCCCCTTCTCAGTCCAGCCCCTCTAATCCCAGTGGGCCGAAACCCACCGTTTATATTGATTTATCTTCAATCAAACATACTTCAGGCAAAATTAAGAAAAATATTAAAGAATGTGCTCTGTTTTCCACATAAGGCTTTCCCCCGCCTGCCCCCAGAGGACCGATACCCAACGTTTATACAAAACGAATTCTCTTCACTCAAGAATGTTTCACGTGAAATGC